TTAATTTCTGTTCTCTTCATTCCCTTGCTGTAATCACAGGCTACCACTGTCACTTCCTGGAGCCGCTCCCTAGAACAGGTGCCAAAAAAATTCTATATAATCTAGTTTTAAAAGCTCTTTACCGGCAGAAAATAAAGCATAAAGGGCAGTATCGCATTAGCCCCTTCTAGTGGCTTTATCCACTTTCTGAATTTTGCTGACTTCTGCTCATCCCAATTTACTCCCAGTCTCAATGATTTTGAACCATAATCACTTCTTTTTTCTCTGCTTCCTGCAGGTTATGCTGGGTTTCGGGCGCCTGCAGGCCCTCTACCGGAGCCGGCAGCTTGCTAAACAGTACGGAGCAACCCGGGCTCATATCATCAGGCTTCAGGCCGTGTGCCGTGGTTACCTCATGCGTCAAAAGATAGAAGAACAGAAGAAAGCTGTACGTGTTATACAGGCGTATGCAAGGGGCATGTTTGCTCGCCGAACCTACCAGAGGATGAAGAAGGAGGTAGGCTCACAGATATTAATAACATGTTGTTTTCATAAAGATTTAATGACCAGCTAAGTGTTGCCATAGCGTGGCACTGGATGTGAATATTTATTTGGGGATATTTTTTTTTTGAGCTCTTGTCAAGTACAAAAGCAGAGTTTTAAGCAGACGATCTTGTTTACGTTTGCTTTCTGTGTTCATTATCACGGATCAAAAGGTCACTGGCAGAGCTGAAATGGGTTTGACAGAAGGGAGGAGGAAAGATGAGATGTGCACGTGTTTCGGTCACTCCTGCAAGGGAAGGTCAACTTCTACAGCAAGGCCTGATAATGTCACTTAGGGATCCATTCCAAAGGGAATCCTCATGCAGCGTGTCTTGGTATGCACTGCCAGAGAAGATCCTGTAGTGACTACCTCAGAGGTCCATAGCACATGGGAGGCCTTTTTGTGATTTCCTTTCTGCATCAAGGCTGTACAAACAGGACGAAGCCAGTTTGCAGATTTCTGCCTGTGGCCTTTTCCCTAAAATGCCAAGTCTAGAACACAGCCCCTGGTGGGATAAAGTCCTGGTGGGACCAGCTTTGTTCATGGCAGAAGGGAGCCAGCTCAGCAGTTGTGGAAACAGTCACAGAATAGTCTTGTTGTCCACAGAACAAGTACAGGCTGGAAGCCAGGAATATCCGCTTGGAAGAAGAGAAACGTCTCATGCTAGTCCTTGGACCAGCGAAAGCAAGGGAAGAAGCTATGAAATTAGAAAAGGTAAGTATGTTGACAGAGGAACACCGAATGCTACGTTCCTTAGCTAACAAGATGGCTTGCCCAGCTCACACCTGTGGACTTGCTCAAAGATCTGAGCACTGCTATATTCTAATAAAAAGCAGACATAGTTGTAAACCCATTTGTAACAATGCGTTAGGAATGAGACAAGGCACGTTCCTGTTTGCAGCATGAGCTGGCACTTGAGCCAAACATGCACGATGCTATTACAGGCCCTGGAGACAAAACATTTTTAAATTTTAACTAATGTGCGGGTTTCTGCTGTTAGGAATTCCATGTTTTCCTTATATTAGCTCCTGTTGATAAAGTACTTAAAAAAATTGCACATCCTTAGCAGTAGGTCAACAGTCTTTAAGGACAGCTGTAAGAGCAAGGCCCTACTGCTGATGTGCTAGGTATTTGTGACAGCTTAAGACAAGCAACATTTGACTTCACATTCCAACCCTGCAGTAGCAGAGCTGGACCTCACTGTCATAACACCTTTGTAGTGGTGTTTCATCCTCACAGCCATTCATTCTACCTGAATGATGTTCCATTCACGCCTAACCAGCTTCTATTGTTTAAAGGAACACCTGGCTTCTCTGGAGAGAGAGGAGGCAGAAGAAAGACAAAGGAGGAGTGCTCTTGCCAATAAACCAGCAAATCATGATGTTATCAGCGATCAAGAAATGGTGGACAAAATTTTTGGGTTTTTACCTTCCATGATCGGAGGCCAAGAAGGACAGGCTCCTCTGGGTTTTGAGGTACAGAGCTAAAGACTGGTAATGGGTTGTTTTCATTTGACTTTGTTGGAATTCCATAAGTCATCAATTGTGTTTAATGAACTTCTGTACAGTGAAAGTGTCACCCAAATCATCCAGACAGTCTCTTCAGGATTTGCTTTCAGAAGTCAGTTCCCAAATGTTTTTGGTCACATGCAGTTTGGGGACTATGTGTCTTCAAAAGCTACTGCACATTTGTTTCTTTGGGCCAATAGACCCTCACCAAATAATGCCCCTTTCTGCATTTTGGCACCAACCACATGTTCTGCTGACAGTGCTTCCAGCAATTTTCCAGCTGAAACAAGCTGGAAGTTCAAGACCCATGTTATCCCACGTTCTTAAAAGCAAAATTTGAGATATACTGGTCCTGAGAGCTGTGGAGGATGGAATCATGTAGGGAGAGGTAGGCAAAGTAGAATGGTCTTGCTTAGTGCAGGATGTGAGCAATGAGATAGCACCTGGATTTTTGATCAGCAATGTTCTTGCTGAAGACCAAAGCAGGAAGGTTATATGGAGTCAATGCATCTCAGAAAGACAAGCTGAGCCCCAGTGAAAATGGTTTTGGGGTTAGCTGGAAAGCCAAATTCTGGAGGACCTATGGCCAAGAGGAAAAAAAAAAAAAGAACACAAAATAAAAATATCAGAGTAGAGGGAAAGAAAATATGCTTCTTCCTTATGTTCTGTTCTTCCTCATGTTCTGCACAGGACTTGGAAACAAAGCCTAGCAAGCTGGACGAGGTGGACCTGGACATGGTTCCCATGAGTGTGGAGCTAGAAGAGGAAGCAGATGGTTTGGAAGAGTACACCTTCCCAAAGTTTGCAGCTACTTATTTCCAGGGATCATCTACACATACACATATTCGGAGACATCTGCGGCACCCATTACTCTACCATGATGACAAGGACAACATCCTGGGATCTTGCTCCTTATGTTGAACCTGTTCCTTCCACAGCTCATTCTACAGCTCCCCTCATCCTTAGGTCCCCCCACCTCTGGCACAGCTGTGGGAACCAGATACTTCAGAGCCAAGTAGATAGTCCTAAGCACAAAGTAGTAGTTCCCAGCAGCATTTTTTGGCACTTTACACAGATGCCTGCCCAACCCAACATCTCTAGTCACCTTTAGTCTGCCTAAAGAGGGAACTCTCAGATTTGTTTTGACTTCTCCAGATAGTCTTTGGGGGTAAAAACAAACCAGAACGAAGCAGCAACAGAGCTCACCCACCTCTCTGCTCTTGTTAGGGTTGCTGGTCTGAGTGAGGACAGAAGGGGGAGGCCCAGGCCTCTAGTTTTCCTGTTGAACCATAAGGATGTTGAGAGGGGAGTTCTTGACACGAAGAAGCCTTGCAGAATGGAGGATCCCATGCTGCAAAAACTTCGCTATTACTTGGCTTTTTAGTTCTGGGCATGAGGGCTCCTGGAAGAGTTTTTTATCTGCCCAGGTGGGTAAATGCTGAGTGCAGTTCAGCCAAGGTTTTCCACCTCACCCCAGACACAGCACACCTGCAAGGTGCCAGAAAAGGGAATGGTGAAGGCTCAGCAATCACAGAACAAATCTGACATTCCCACCAGAGCTGAATCCTCTTTCTTTAACATGAGAGTGCTGTGAGTGCTGCTCTCATGTTGTTTGACATGAAAGTAGACTCCTGGTGTAAGTGGTGGGAGGAAATGGGAATTTTAACAATTTGGACTGGGTGAAGGAAGAAAATGCTCTGATCTAAACAGGAAGAAATGGCATGAGGCCATTGGTTCTCTTGGCAGTGTCTGACTGTGCTTTCTTTCACTACAGGCTTCTCTAGTTGTGTGGGTTGTCATCCTGAGGTTCATGGGGGACCTGCCAGAGCCAACAATGTTTGCCAAGAATGCCACCAGTAAGAGCGGCTCTGTGATGACACAGCTATATGACACACTTGGCAGGAAAAACCAGGTCCAATTCAGGAACGACAGCCCAAATATGGTGAGAGGCTATGTTTGTATTTTCATTTGCTTTCCTTGGTTTCTGTGCTGTTGTACCAAGAGTGAGAAAAGCAAAAGAACCCCTTTCATGCTACTGTTACTGAAATGCCAGAAGTGCAAAAGGGCCTCTGTCAGTCCTGGAAGGACACTGCAGCTCCTCTGTCAGGAGGGAACTAAACAAAAACATCTCCATTTGAGCATCTTCCGTCCTTATGAAACATTCTTCCTGTGCCTTAAACTAATTTCTTATAATGATAATGTGTGTTGTAGAGAGAAAGCAGAAAGGATAACAAGATTTCAAAGGGGATCTCTTCCCTGAAGCTGAAACGGTCATCCAAGTTGACAGGGAAGGTAAGAGATGGAAATAAATCACTTCCCTTAAGTCTTCTTACCTGGAAACCTGTCTTCGCCTTCTGACAGATGTTATGTGACAGCAACCTCCCAGCTGAGAACTTGTTCCCCTGCCAAGCCAGCGCAGCCCTGCATGTGCAATACCTGGTGCAGTTCTTCTTTTGAAACTGTCCCCATGAGCACTGCTGTCATTCATTCTTTAGCAGGTTAAGTCCATCCCTTCCTGCTGGAGAGTGACTCCTGAACACAGGGAACAATGTATTAGTGAGGATTGTTGGCATTATGGAGCAGTTTGCCCAAAGCCCTGAGCAGACTGAGACCCACACCATGTGCTTAGGGCTGTACAGGCCAGTACAAGAAAGTTCTCCTCGCCAGTAATAGTGCTGTAACTCTGCATTTTATGAGTTAGCTTGAGAGGGAAGGGGGGAAATACAGCCTATTCCTAACTGCTCCTGCAATGAGCAGGAGGAGTTTTAGCAGGAAAGAGAGAGAACGAATGTCTCATTTCTGGGAGAGCTTCCTGGTGAGAAAGGAGGTTTCTAGAGTACTCTAGGGTTCTGCTTGGCTTCTTTCAGGTGGCAAACCAGCTGAGAAGTGGAGAAGAGGCTTTCCAAGAGGACAGCTCTATCTCTGAGAGACCTATGTCCAACCTAGAAAAAGTGCACTTCATTATTGGCAATGCAATTCTGCGTCCTGCCATCAGGTAGGAAATTTGTACCTCCTTTCTAGAACCAGGCACCCATCGTATCAAGGAAATCCAGGATCCCCTTTCCACAGTCCTGGAGTATTTTCCAAATGCTGGAAACATCTCACATTTCTCTCTGGTGATTCCTAACATAAAACTCAAACCACAGAAAACTGTAAGCCACACAGCTCTTTGGAGGATGGTTCACCTTTATCAGAGGGGACAGAAAATGGCTCCTTTACTGCCTTTTCTGGTATCTTCATGCTGTAGATTAGGTCATCTGCCTCCATACGTAGCTTTTTGAATACATCACAGATATGCAGTGGGGCAGAGCTCAGGGCTGTAACCCAATAACACCTGTAGGTGGAGCGCAGTATGAGGGAGAATAAAGACTCAGAAAAGTAAGAAATATGGAGTTGATGTATACTAGGTGTATGAGAGGTGTTCATAACCTCAGTTTCGCAATGGCCTGTTGTTGAGCCCTCAAGCAACGTCCCCAAATCAGAGATGGTTGAAGGTCTGTGTATATCAGACTGGACCTTAGGCCAAGCATGGTGTGAGGATAAGACAGAATCTGGCTGGTTCTGACCTGACGCCATGAATTCTCTCCTCCATTTTAGCCCATTTTAGCTTATGCAACACTTTTCTGTAACAAAGCCCATAGACACAGGCCCTGCCTTGACCTCAGTCACGGACTGCATTCCTCTCCACAGAATTGCTTTTTTTCAGTCAAGATGTACCCTGAAGTAGATCCTCAGCTGGCAAAAATTGCCTTCCGTCAATGTATCATAACAGCTACAGGCTACATATCTTCTCCCTCAGTCTGTGTTTCATCACATGTCTTATCTGGAAACAAAAACCTCATCCACCTTCTGTCCTCCCACAACAGACTTGCCAAATGTGTGTTCTAAGAGTCCAGATAATTTAAAATTGTTTTTAAACAGCAGTTTTGTTTGTATGCATTTTTTTCAATCTGTTTCCCACATGTCCTTGCTGCAGCCAACTTGCCTTTTCAGAATCTCACTCTGAAGCACCCTTTCCTCCATTCCTGTTTAAGGACTCACTCCAGGTTTACTAAAAATACACAAGTAAGCAGGGTGTCCCCCTATCCTTATCCCAAAATCCACGTATGAGCAGACAGACAAGAGCCATAAGGTACAAGCCACACACTACAGAGAGCTTAGAGCAAGTTTGACACGTGGAGGGACAGCAATGCCATTTCACAGCTGGATGACCCAGTGGTTGTTAGCTCTGCACAGTCCCCCCTGCTTGTCACAGGAGGCAATCCAGCATGAGAATTGCATTTGAACTGCTTAAGTAACAAGGGGTGGCAAAGGGTGCTAGGTAACTTTGAGCCTTTTCCTTCCAAAGCCAATGACACAGTTATTTCCTGGGGTACATTACAGGTGGTATCCTTGCTAACAGGGTTAAACCTGGCTCAGATCTACTTCATCATGCTGCAGTCATGCCAAGCTTGCAGTGGAAACATAGCCAAAGACACTTCAGCCAGTGAATCATTATCTGTTGCTTTCACATGTTCTGTTACAGAGATGAGATTTATTGCCAGATTTGCAAACAACTCACCGAAAACAGCAACAGGAGCAGCTATGCCCGAGGCTGGATCCTTCTGTCACTTTGCCTTGGCTGCTTTCCTCCCTCAGACACATTTGTGAAGGTACACTACTAACCTTTCCGACAGCAGCTCGAACGCCTTAGCTGTCTGGTTTCTTGTGTATTTTGATGTTTTGGTACAGATAGTCACATAAACTGTTTGGCTGCCATAGCAGCTGGTGCTGTGAGTTTAGCAGAAACTATCTCATCTCATCTGCTTATCTGGGAATTTAAATAAACCATTGCTGTACTCACATTTCATTATTTTTCATTACATGTCATACAAGTTGGATTCTGTTGTTGATCACAACCCTCATTTTAGGTCTGTAATCTGCAAAGAATCTGTCAAATTTTAACCTCTTCAGTTCTGCCTTTCTAACATTTAAAAGTTGTTTCCAGTTACAATCCTAATGACTAAATGTACTCAGGAGGCCAGTATAAAATCATCCCCCATATTTTACCAGTTCTACATTTCCAAGGCCTACAAAATCTGATAGAGATTTGGGCTTTTTCATCATTCATTAATTCCCAAGTTTAAATAGTTGATAAATCCACTTCACCACAGGAAAATAAAACCAGCAACCTGTGGCTCTAACTTGCCGTCAGCCTTCCTCCTAGATCTCAGAGGCAAACAGAATCCATAGATACACCTGAACCTTCAGCCTTACTTTATTGATGCCCTAGCCTAAATGATTCATCATAAATGCTGCTAAATGGACACTCCTTGGAACAAACGAGACACAAGCAATAGACATATTTTGACACCAGTGCAAAGACTGTGAACCATGCAGAACTCATGAAAGACATGACAATACTCTATCTCTAGGAATATTTTTAGTCATTAAAATAACCAGGTGACTGGCTCATGCTTGCACTAAATAAAAGTATGCAAATATAAGCCCATGCTTACACCATGTCAATCAAGATATCAGAGCCATACAAACTCCAAACGCTCAAGTTATCCAATCCTTCTCTTCCAATGTCCAATCCTAATCATGGACTTCAACTATTGATATTGCCAGGGAATTTAGTAAAACTAAAAGTAACCAATCATCATCAGTCCTAAGCTGCAATTAGCTCTCCTCCCAGCACTTTTGTTCATACAGAATGTAACAAGGCTTCAGGCTGTTCAACTGGAAACACTAACCCTTGCTCTAACCTAATCATAAGAATAAAGTCTCCACTGTCTATTTATCGTATAGTTAGACACGATCTTTCTCTTTAGACTAAAAGCTCTGCAGAATTAGGGAAAACTTGGTGTCTCAAACCTCCTTTTCCAAAAGGATAATTCCAATCCTAACCTTTCATACTTTCTGGTGAACTGTAAGCTAACTGATCCCTCTAATCTAGCATGTCAGCTGCAGAAGGTTTCTAATGCTTTATGAGGATTAATGTTTCCCAACTCTTTCCTGTGCTCTTTGCATGTAGTACCTGTTGAATTTCATCCACCATGGCCCCCCAGGCTATGCCCCATATTGTGCTGAACGTTTGAGACGTACCTATGTCAACGGAGCACGGACTGAACCTCCGAGCTGGCTGGAACTTCAGGTAGCAACTCCCTTCTTGCTCAATTATATTGATCTGTGCCATTTTATGCTGGATTGCATTTACTAACCTGTGGCAACAGATCTTCCTAAATCCAATAACAGAAATCAATTGCACAAGGGGATTGAAGACCAGCTGCCTTGGTCTGTGCAGCTTCTTAGATACACCTCTTCTGGCTATTTAGTTAACCTAAATCCAGTGGAGGATGTAAGTTAAAAGCTGTAACCCATAATTTTCAGGGAGATGCCTCTATCGACTCAGGAGCCACAGGCCAGAACCACCTCCTGAGGGAAGCTCTTACCAAGATTTGTGCAAAGAACTGAGCAGGGCTTATGCTTTTAAAATGGAGGGAGGAAGTGTGTATGATAGGGCTATATCGCCCTCCCCCTTCCTCTAAATGTCACCCTAGTAATCAGAAGTCACACACACACATGCCCACACACATACCCTCTTCAAGTGAAGATCTCAGCTCATTTCAATCCTAAATCTGAGTGACCCGATTGCCTAACACACAGCTCCCCAGGGAAAGTGCTTGCCACAGGCCATCTTTCCGCTGATGCATTTAAGGCTGTACCCAAAGGTCATTAGGCCAGATAAGGCTTACGAAAAGTCTATCAGTCCACACTGTTATGTGATAATCAGCTCCCTGGAGCTGCAGAGAGGAGAGAACTTGAGTCCAGTGCTGCTCCAGGGATGTAATTTATACTTAAGGCTCACCATATATTGAAGAAACTGTGTGGGCATTGGAGATTCACTTAAAGATTGTTGACTAGGATGTACAGCGTGTGGAGCTCTTCAATCTAAATGCCGCCTTCATTCTTTGCAGAAAAGTAAGGTTTGCCCATAATCTGTTTCTCTCCTTTTACTCTAACTTACAGGCAACAAAGCAGAAGAAACCGATTATGTTTAATGTCACCCTGATGAATGGCCAAAGCATCACTGTCCCAGCAGACTCTGCTTCCACTGCCAAAGAGATCTGTCAGTTCATAGCAGATAAAACCAAACTGAAGGATGTGTTTGGCTTTTCGCTCTACATTGCTGTGTTTGATAAGGTAAGGTGTAGAAAGACAGATTGAAAGCTCCCTTCTCTTTCTGTGGAGTTGCTTCTCTCCTCCCAGCCTCACTGAGGATTCCTCCTGACGAACCAGAGCTGCTTTGTCTCATCTTCCAACTTATTTTTTCCAAATACCATCGCATTGCATAAAAATACACACATTTACAAATACATTTACATTAGTTTAAGTTAGACATCCATCTGCTTACTTTTTCAAGGTTTTTTTGCTGTTTGGGTTTGGGTTTGTCGTCCTTCACTCAGAAGCAAAGCAGGCATGCCGGTGTCCCTTTGTTCTAGGTGTGGTCACTGGGTGGAGGACGAGATCACGTCCTGGATGCCATCTCCCAGTGTGAGCAGCTGGTGAAGGAGCGGGGCACGCACGAACGCAATGCGCCCTGGCGACTCTACTTCCGGAAGGAAATCTTCACCCCCTGGCACAACTCCCGGGAGGATCCTGTCAGCACCGATCTCATTTACCACCAGGTCATTCGCGGCGTCCGCTTTGGAGAGTACCGTTGTGAGAAGGTGGGTCTCCTTATTCATTCTCCCTAAAGAGAAAACACTATATTAACATTTACCACATTAAAAAGCAGGAAGATGAAGGAAGTTTCTAGTGTCTATGAACAACCCTTCCCTTCTTAAATACCCTGGAGGAATTTAAAAGATGTGTAGACATGGTGCTTAGGGACATGGTTTAGAGGTGGACTTGGCAGTGCTAGGTTAATGGTTGGACTCCATGATCTTAAGGGCCTTTTCCAACCTAAACAATTCTATGATTCTTAATGGACTGTTCCTGTCCAGGTGATTGTGCCAGCTGTCACACTGGCAGCTGTAATTAATGCTATTTCTTTCCTGCAACTTTCCGTTCCTGTGGCAGCTGGAGGCATGCCCAAAGGGGCAATTCAGATCCTTTTAAAATATTTTTGCTAATAATCTCTTTGATGCTATGATTGTGTGAAGTTAATCACTCCTTCTGCTGGATGACTGTCAAGAATTATCCTGATAAAAATAGAGAAAGCCCCATACCTAAACTGGCTTCAAGGCTGAATGAGATGAGCTGAACTTTGCAATATCTTACTAGGCCTCTTTGAATGGATTAATTGTTTCAGGAGGAGGATTTGGTGGAGATAGGTGCAAAATATTGTTACATCCAGTTTGGAGATTCCATCCACAATGAACTCGTGCAGAAGGTGCTCCATGACTGTATCCCAGTGAAACAGCTGAAGTCCAAGCCCCTGGAAAAGTGGGTGAGCCTTATAACCTACGCACACGCCAAGGTAAGAGGTTTGTCTGGTGCTGCTGGGTAACCACTCTGAGGCACCAGCTTCTGCTTCTTTCACCGTTTCCTTTTATGAATAGTCTGTTGAGGGAAGAAGGAAAAACATCTCAGTTTGTATATCCCAAATAGTTAATGAAGACTGGTAGAGCGAAGAACCTTTCCACTCACTCTGCCATATAGCACCCAACAGGAGGGAAGAACAAAAAAAGTATATTTAAATCTCTGAATAAAGTATCTTTTAAGGCTCTCTGTCTTACATCTGACAATTGAGTCAGGATGGGCATGGGATGGAATGATCTGGATGGGTTAACTGAATTATTTCCATGGCATCCAAAGTGTGTTAGACTCTGAATGGATCAATCAGTGGGGATTTGAGGGAAATTTGGGATCTACATGCTTGTGGGCAGCCTCAGCTGCATGAGGCTTGGGCCCCTGGAGTCTCCTTCTGATTTGACTTTCTCCACACACCCTTGACACCAGTGACAGCAGAGAGCTGTCAGCAACCTCTGGGATCAGGCCTGCTCTTTGCTGTTTGCAGATCAGGCAAACCAGATTTTACTGAGAAAACCTTGGATGTCTTTTTATATTGCAGGCCCCATACACACAGGACCGTCTCTCCCGTCAGACTGTGAAGGAACAGCTTGTAGATTTTGCTCGCTTTCAGTGGCCTTTGCTTTTTTCCCGATTCTTTGAAGTCACTAAGTTTTCAGGTAATTCCTGGAGCCTGGGAGTAGAGGACAGACATAAGAGCAATAGAGGAGGACTTGTATAGCATTGATAAGGAGATTTTTCTACATTTTCAGGTCCCAGCTTGCCCAAGAACCACTTTATCGTTGCTGTAAACTGGAAAGGTATCTGCTTCTTGGATGAGTCAGAAAAACGGCTCCTTGAGCTGACCTTCCCAGAGATAACTGGCATCCACACCAACAGGTGAGTGCCCCAGAAAGACAAGATCTGAAGAAGGCATCTCTGACTATATTCAGAAAAGGTCTTCCCTGTAGGAGGGATGTGTACTTTCTCTGTCATCCCGCTATGTGATCCTGCTCAGTCAGAAGGGGGTAAGGAAGCACAGACATGCATCAAGACAAGAATGGCCAAAATAACTAAAATAGATAAGGCACTGTCTGTTATGTATACTTCTCAGGTGTGGACATGAACAGGATAACTGAGGGAAAGATTGGCTTGCTCAGGGCACACATCCGTGCATTAGATCACTTAGAGAATAAGGTCTTACATAAACAAAAGACTGTGAGGACTGTCAATAATTTCATTAGTTGCTCAGTTACTCCAAATGAAGGGTGTTATTTTGTCTTAATGAAGCACTTTTGTACAAAATATGGTAGAGTCCAGAGTGAATCTGAACCACTTCAGTCCTTCACACCTACCAACTCACAAGAAGACAAATTGAGAACTACCAATACTCACTGTAAGGGAGTTGTCTGCAAGGGGGTGTAGATGCCTTGGCTGTGGTTGCAGGTGGGTCTGTAAGTTTTTCAGATGGTCTGATAACAAAACTGTTGAATAATACCTAGGGCAGTGAAGTCATTTGGACAGAGTTGCACTCTCATCACACTTCGTGCCGAGGAGTTTGTCCTGACATCTGTAAACAGTGTTGTTATTGCCGAACTGGTGGTCATGTTCCTGGAAGGCCTGAAGAAGAGATCACGATTTGCTGTGGCAATGCATGAGAAAAAATCCCAAGGTAAATCCCATAACTTTACTGCAGGGTAGGAAAGACATCTCGAAAGAGCCCTCAGTGCCTGTTTGAAAGAGCTCAAAGGGAAGTGGGAGAACTTCAGCAAGAGACCCTTTGCTCCAGGAGGGATGCATAGCAATCAGCACAGCAATACAGAGCATAAGGCAGCGTGATTCAATATCTTTGCATACGAATTACCCTTTTTCTCCCTTCTATTTCTTTGCATATATTATTTAGATATTACAGGGTCCAACAACTCAGCCTGCTTATAATAGAAAGTTGGAGCTGGGCTCCCTAGAAATACTCTCCAGACAAGTTCACAGATGTGGTAAACTGAAAGTTTCTCTGGCATATAGTTGGCTGGAACAGACAAGAGGGTATTAGAATATAAACATTAATTTCACCTACTTATAACTAGTGAGTTTCTTTGCTTTGCTGCCAGCTCTAGACACAAATTCAGCTTCCATTTGAATCAAACAGAGTTCTTCCATTGCTCTCAATGGATCAAAATCAGGCTGTCAGAGGAGATTTAAGTAATTTCTGTGAAGTGTTGCTGGATGATTATCTGTATTTACACAAATCACTTTCTGTTGCTAATTGAATGCAAGCCTTCAAAATACAATTCCCCTCTCTTTCACAGTGCAATCCCTTTGCATTTTTTTGACTGTCAAGACTTAACAGTACTGTCTTATTCTGTTTTCCAGAAGACCCTGCTATCCTGTCCTTCAAGAAGGGAGACTTGCTAATCTTGACTGAAGACAAAAGCCTGGATGCACACTCTGACTGGATCTATGCCCAGAATGAAAGGACAGGCAAAACAGGGAATGTATTTTTGGAAGACACCTACATCATCCCTTCTCTCACAAAACCCTCTAGTCAAGTGCTGGTAAGAAAAGCTGAGCACTCTTGTTGAAGAGACTGGAAGATAAATGATAATAACAGTGTTAAATATGATTGAACTTGTAACTGGAAGTTAATTGTTCCTCCAAAGTCAGACAAGTGCTCCCATTGAAGCAGAGCATTTAATTCTGTCCTGTCTGAAAACAAAACTAAACCTAGCCCAAACTGTAAGAAGACTGCAGTTGCACAAAAGCAATGACTTTGAAAATAACAGTCCATTCATCCTCAGGGATTTCAGCACCTGGGATTGGTAGCAATTAATGGAAATGGGTGTGCAGTTGAATTTTCCTGCATTCACACTGGGCTTGATTGGTGAACAGACGTTAGGTCTCAATGGAAACTCTGAAGTGCAGCAGATTGCTTTAAAAGAATATAGTCTTCAAGGAAATCCACACAAGATTTCCCATTGATCACTGCTAATGCTTTTGTCTTCAGTTTTGGAGACTGAGTATATTGGATGCTGTGCTAACAAGTAAAAAGCTGAAGAACACACCAGTAGTTAGCAGGTTCACTTTCAACAAGTGGTGTGCTTTGGATAATCACACACATTTTGATGGTCCCTACAGTTGGGTCTATGGAAATTGCTTCCTTTTGTCTCTTACTCCCAAGTCTTTCTTCAGTCTCTGAAAGATGCTGCTTAAGGGAGAGAAAGTCTCCTGCAGCACAGAGCACTCAAGCTTAGTACATACCATCTGTGTGTCTATGCTGAGTAACTCCTGACAATATGTGCAGAGACCTGTGTCCATGTGACATCTCTACATGACTGTGTCATTCCAGACTCTGCTGATGATGTCTCCAGACCAGAGGAGGACAGCTTCACAGAACTCCTACGTGGATGAACCTGATGAAGAGGATCTCAAAGTGAAGCCCTACACCCTGGAGGAGTTCTCCTATGAACACTTCAGGTGAAGCTCTCTGTGTAGTGTGCCCCTTAAGAAAGTTCTTGTTGATCTGCAGTAATCCTTAAAGCCTAGGATGTAATGGCATCTCCCATTTTGATTGGATTTCTTCTCTTTGTTCCCTGTAATTAAGTATGTCTTTGGATGTGCAGAGATTCTGGTACATCACCTACTTGTGTCTTTTGGCTGCAAAAATGCAAAGGGAAGGGTAGAGAAACCCCAGCTGGACTTAGTTCTTTCCAGCAGGCCTTATTCTTACTTCTCAGCCCTTCTTCAGAACTTACCAGCTAGTGAGGATACACAACATCTCAGGCCTCGAAGAGTAAGGGAAAAATTAGTCTTCTAGAATTTCTCTCCTTTTTGCAAGCCTTCTCCCTCTGGATCTACAACAAACTACCTTTTCCTGTTCTTGTTGACCTGCATAATCAAAGGAGATATGCAATCACTGCCTTGGGAAAGAACATGCCTAGAGATAAGTCTTTGTAATCATGACCTCCTGTGTTTATAGCAGTACCCATCCAGTAATTTTGTATTGTCTGCACTTGCCTTCATTCAGGACTCCTGAGAAGGAATCCATCAGCAAAGCTGTTCTCCAGAAATCCCGCGGGCGCAGTCAGCTGTGGGCACATTCTAAGGAGCCTTTGAAACAGCCCTTGCTGAAGACAGCGTGCGCAGACCCTGATCTTCGGGACTTGGCTTGCCAGGCCTTCATCGATATCCTTTCACTCTTCTCTTTGGGATCTGAGAACTCTCCAGGGAAAGAAGAGCCAGCTACCTCCACTAAACTCACCTCCATTGAGATAATATCGCATTACACGTTACAGGGGATACTTACATCAAGGTGGGGAGTATCAACTCTGCACAACTCAGCATCATTTCCCTTGTCTACAGAGGAAAAGTTCCTATTCCCTCCCAATGCTCCACAACTCCTGATGGCTCACTTAACTGAGAATGTGGCTTTAGGAGTGAGTGAGATTTTAGGGAATGTGGCTTTAGAGAGTAAGGAATGAGTGGGAACTGCATTCCCAGAGCAAGCAGCTAATACAGTACAAATCACAGCCAAGCAGTGACTGCTGCATAGGGAAAGGGGGTAGAGCACAGACAGGGAATATGTTCCAGACCCTCCTCCCAGTATTTGCCACCTAGGTACCAACAGAGTCACTAACGTGTTAGGGTTCAGGTGAGACTTTCCATTTACCTTCAAAAATTGGCCTGCTTTTGTCCTTAACAGCGCATTCACCCATCATGAAATTCATGGGGGACTATCCCTCAAAACATGCACACTCTTCCGTGGAAGTCACCGACCAGATCTTTGTAGCAGCTATCCAGGAGGAGGTCCTGCGGGATGAGATTTACTGTCAGATCATGAAGCAACTTACGGAGAACAGAAACAGGTACTCACCTGGGTGCAAACACCCTGCTTCTGCAGACCCAGGTAGTCTGCAGAGAAAATAGGGCACTACATAGGGTTTTTGAATGCTTTCAGTGACTGCACTGCCAGCCCTCTATTTATTTTGAGTTTCCCAGTGACAGCAGATAGTTCACACTAGATCTTTTACCACCAGGGAACACTTTGGAGTAGTTATGGTAATTAGGTTACACACCTGGCTTGCAGAACAGATGGGTCACACAGGCCTGGCTCATGCATAAGTTGCTGAAACAGGCTGGTGTTTTGCTTCCCCATCCATAAAATTATAATTAGACCTATTTCCAGGGGAACTGAATTGCAAAAAGCAGCTTAAAATAATACTAATTATTAACAAAATGGTTTGCTTCTAGCTGCAGTGTGTCACTGCAAAAGTTAGAGAAGGAGCTTCTGTTTGTTAATTTTCTTTCCTACTGTTCCACAGATATTAAACTTCATGGAACTTTTACGATGTTTGTAACTATTAAACAGTAAACTTCCTTGCATGCAGTAAATCTTACAGGCTATTTAATGCATAGTCTGTAACCATGGTGCCGGTGCCATGCCTGAGGTACTCTTACCAATTTAGTCCAGTGGGTCATTCACTGTTTTGAGAGGGATCACTGATGTGGAAAAAACAATGCTTGAAAGGTGGCTATTTCCATAGATTTTTCATTAGAACAGCCAGAACAACAAATCTTTCATCTTTCCCAGGCTACTGCCCTGTGGACCATGTCACGCTCCCACAGACACAAACACCACTGATCTATAGAGTATAAATGGGATTAAAGTAGTGTGTCTTCGTCTGTAAAATTAGAAAAGTAAATGGGAATAAAGAAGTCCTGCCTTCTTTATTCAGCAGAATCTGGTGCCCATTCAGAGACAGACCTGCTGGCTTTCCTGACCAAACCCAGACCATTTAGTGCTTCAGAGCAAGCCCTGGGACACAGTTGAAGTGTGTCCTGCTCCTGGCTTTGAAAGCAGAATGAATGACCAGCTCCTGGCTGCAGAACCTTTCTTACTGGTGAGGGTGAGATGCCAGAAGAGCTTCAACTGGCAGATTTCACAGGTCCAGAGGCTGGATGAACTGGTTTTCTGCAGGAAAACTGTACAGACTTGGTCTGGAGTTGTTAAGAACAGTAACTAACTCGTGACATGATGTCATCTACCTGCTTATTTTTCAGAGCAGGAGCACACTTAAGGGAAAGTCAATATTTTTTTTGCTCTGAGCAAAGCTGGCTAGCACAGAGGGCAGGCAAATACAAGCAGCTGATAAAGCACAATCCAAAGAAATGTGAGCTTGGACAGCAAATTGACAGTGGCTTTCCTTGAGGATGGCACCGGGGTCACTGCTGCCAAGATGACTGTTAAACTTGGAGCTTATACTTATTCATGAGATTTGCAACTGTCATGAATATTTATCAGCCAGGATTTAGCATTGTCTTCACACACGGGCTGTGGTCGTTGCACAGAAAACGGCTGCCGGATCCTGTGTGAAAGCTCTGTTGATTTGCAGCTCTCTGCTGAATGGCACGACATACCATGAAGGGAGTGTGTTTCTCTCCCCTGTAGCTGGTGTGTGGTCAAACAGAGGGTTAGAATTATAGAATCATCATAGAATTGCCCAGGCCGGAAGGGACCTCCAAAGGCCATCTAGTCCGCCCCCCCCGCAGTCAGCAGGGACACCCCCAACTAGACCAGGTTGCCCAGGGCCTCGTCGAGCCTCTCCTTGAATATGCCCAGGGAAGGAGCCTCAACCACCTCCCTGGGCAACCTGTTCCAGTGCTCCCCCACCCTCACAGTGAAGAACCCTCTCCTAATCTCCAGTCTAAATCTGTTCCCCTCCAGCTTGAAGCCATTTCCCCTCGTCCTGTCACTACAGGCCTTTCTAAACAGGGTCTCCCCAGCCTTCCTGTAGGCTCCCTTCAGGCACTGGAAGGCTGCTATTAGGTCTCCCTGGCGCCCCCTCTTCTCCACACTGAACACCCCATGCCCCCTCAGCCTGTCCTCGTAGCAGAGGTGCTCCATCCCCCTGATCATCCTTGTGGCCCCCCTCTGGACCCTCTCCATCAGGTCCATGTCCTTCTTATATTGAGGGCTCCAGGGTTGTATGTGGCTGTAGCAGTTGCTTTGTGTTCACAGGTACAGCGTGACCAAGGGCTGGCAGCTCCTTTGGCTCTGCACTGGCCTCTTCCCACCCAGCAAATCACTGCTGAAACATGCCCAGAAATTCATAGAGACACGTCAGAAAGAGAAACTGGCCCTGGAGTGCAGTCGGCGGATTCAGACAGTGATGAGGTAAACGATCTGGCAGGCAGCCAGCCCAAAGCGTTCAAAAATCATGAATCGGGTGGCAAAAAATCATATGGGCTGAAATATTGAGAATCTTACTTTCCTTCCTCCTTTACTTTTTTTTTTTTTTGTAAATGATCATTATTTTTAATTCTCTCATGGACTTCGAACCACTAGGAGAGGCCTGTATCACAGTTTCACTTGTTTTTTTCCTCCCTCAGAGTTAGCAACATTTTTAAATGTTCAACATCATACATAATTACTTGAATCCCAGAGTATTTCAAATATGCCTAAGGGCCTGCAGCTTGAAATGAAATCCTGAGATGTCTTTGATGAGGTCCTGACCTTGCTTTCCTTTGGTGAGGCAGCATGTCCTTATCCCCCTTACGTGTGCCTGAGGATTGGTCTTGAGTTGGTTGAATCTCAGTAGCACAAAGCTGCATGTGTGCCGCTAAAAATACTAGGTGGTACTCATAGCAGGATGGCACCACTGAAGTCACTGACATCTGCAGGGTGCTGAGATGGCTCTGTTGGTTTTTTTTGATGATGAAGCAAAGCACATCCACGCTGGGAGAAGATCAACACGATCAAATCCTATTTGTTGAAGAAACCAAAATAAGCAAAGCCCTCACACTAGGGTTCTGCTCAGTCCTCTAGGCATTACTCCTGTCCTGGTGAAGGTTGAAGCAGCAGGGCCTCCAGCCAACAGTGCTCCTCAGGCTTCTGAATGACTTGTTGCTGTAATGAACTTGACAAGACCAGAGATAGTGGAAGGGCTACCTGGTTTTCAGGAAGGATCAGTTGAACTGTAGGGGAAAGGTTTCCCTAGATTCCTCCAAGCACTGCAATTAGCCAGCTTGACACTCTGGGAACATGGTGCTTCGGCATGAAGGTTAACCCCAGCCTTCTCCCTTTTGATACTTTTGACCCAGTAGCCATCCCCCTTGCAGGGTGTGTTTTGGCACTGCTGGGAAAATATCACTGCACATGGTGCACATGCCTTTGAAGTGCCTGAAAAATGCCTGGCAAAGAATGCTATCCATTGTTTTTTTCTATGGAGAAGACTGAAAAATCCCTGCCTCCCTATATCATGTCCTATTGGTGCTTTACACCCTGTTGAGCTGTACAGAGCTTCTTTAGAGTGGGGAAACAGGAAGGGGAAAGCAGAATGGGCTGTTTGGGAGGAGAATTCTATCTGCTAAACTGCCCCAGGTCTGGAGCCTGGGGGATGGAAAGAACAACAAAGACAAAAGTTGTTTTCTAAGAGCATTTCTTTGCCTAAGATTAAACTTGCACCTGCTTAGGATAGGATGGAATTAGAATAGAATAGAGTATTTCCGTTGGAAGGGACCTACAACCATCATGTAGTCCAACTTCTCCCTGTAAGTAACCTGCTCTCTTTGGAAAGGGGAGAGCAGACAGCTCAAAGGACTGACATACAATATGTGCAGTGGAAGCCAACTGAGCCCTTGGGTACATTTTTTCCTCCATAAACAGCTTTACAGCTTCATCCCCAGACTCCTGGCCAGGGAACCACTGAGCACCCTGATGGGCGTTAAGCAGATCTTGCCTTGGCAATGAGTTCCTAGCTGAGGCTGCAAGGAGAAGATGGCCCTGTGCCTCCAGCCCCCACGGTCTCCTATGGCCTCCCTCTGCTGCAAGTCCAGGAGTAGAAGACTGAACAGGGCAGGTCCACACTCCTTACAGTGCCTGCACAGTACCACAGTGCATCCTGTTCAGCTTGGTTACAGTCAGGTTTTCCTTCTCCAAATGGAACTGCTACTTTATTTAATAGAAAAAAAATAAATTAGTTTTCAAATCCACACAACTAAAGCTGGATGCCAGACTAAGCTCTCTTCCTGAGAGACTGGCCCAGTGTCAGAAAGGGGTTTGACCCATAAATTAGGGTGTACAAAATCTCCAAACAGCCTGCTCTGTGCCACTGAAGGCAGGAAAACACCAGCCCCAGAAGGTAATGTGCTATATTTGTCCTCACTTTAACTGTAACAAGATTTTTGCATGACTCAGACTTCAGGGCCAGTTCCTTTGCTTTAAAAGGCTGCTCTGCCCTGAGGTACAGTTTCAAAGAGCTGGGACTGTACAGCTTCCGCGCCTCTTGAGTCAGTGATTACACACCGGCTCTTGTATAAAATGCAATGCTTCTAGTGGCCCTCCAAACTTTTCTGGTACTTGCCTCCTGAGCTGTAACTAATTTTCTATCTGAATTCGTATTTTTTTGCTGATACAAGAACTAAATAAAATGTATTTCTCCTTGTGGCTACTGTCTTCACACTTCAATGACAGTAAGGAAAAATATTGCTGAATACATAGAAAGGGGAATTGGTACTGGCTGGGAAGGTGCCTTAATCACTCAACCTCCTTCCAGAGTAGAACAGGCTTTTAATATATATGCTAATAAACCCCTCAGTTTCTTGCTGTTAATTACGCTGAGTTTGCATTGGATGGAGCCCACCCCATCACGTAGCACTAACATTTTGGATGGAATCTGCTGCTTGGGTGGAATACTGTCATTCAACTCCTCAAAAATTAAACATCTAGCACTGATCTCTTAATGATGGTGGTGGCATTTTCCAGGAGCGGCTCCAGGAAGTGGGCACCTCATCCTGTGGAGGTTGAGGCCATCTTACAGAACAACACAAAGATCTCACACAAGATTTGCTTCCCCAATGAAACAGAACAGGTAAGAACTTACTTGTTTTCCGAGCCGTGATGTGTTCATGCAGGAACATGTTTCAAGACATTCAGCGTCCTCATTTCTTCCTCTCCTCTGTGTAACAAGAGTCTTGTTATCTCATAGACATTCAGTGTGGGAACGAACACCAAAATCCGGACTCTGTGTCAGAAAATCGCTTCCAAATTGCAGCTGAGCTCCTGGGAAGGTTTCAGCCTCTTTGTGAAGATTGCAGACAAGGTAACTGTTCTCAATTATGGCAGGGTAGCCAGACTCCCCCCTCCCTCTCTTACTTATTTATCAGACCACCTAAACCACATATGAAGCCAAGCAACAGAGCAAGTCATTACTGCTTCTGTCTTACTGAGGGAACACAACCTAGACTCAAACTTTTAGCACCTGACAATTATTTTGACTATCTTGAAGGGGCTGGATGGAGATGCAGTGTCTATTGATCTACCAGTACACAGGGTAGTACTAAAAGAAGAGAAGACACAGGCTTTCTTGCCACTGCTGGGACAGTAGCAAACTGCATGTTGCATATTACTGGATTCAGCCCTGTTCCACTTAGGCTTTGCCCAGGAGATGTGCTGCACATACCCAGTAGTCACCAGTATTAGGGAGAGCAGGGGCTGATCAGCACCAGTTGGTTGCTCCCTTGTTTCCCAGAGGCTTGCCTTGCCCGAGCTGAAGCTTGGGCTGGCTGCCTTGCTGAGAGGTGCCTTCTCTATGGAACTGTGATCAAGGCAAAAGCAGCACCAAGTCCAGACACAGAGAGTTTCTGATGTGCTGCATTCCTGTAAAGAAGAACCAGGTACATACCAATATTTTACAAACAGGAGATGGCTAAGAATAAGGTAGGCATCTTCAGCTTGACTTCAATAAGCAGGTTGGAAAGAAGAAAGCAACAGAAGATGCAATAAAATTCCCCATATGAAATGTAAATAATTTAAAGCCTTCCTCCTCCTATTTCTCGACTTCCTTCCCCTTGCCTCTGTCTGTCTTGCTGTAATTGGGTTCTCTCACCGTAGACAGGGAAAGAAAATTCAGCCTGATACATGAGTATGTTGGCATGGGCAGTGTTTTATATGATCAGCTAATCCCTCCTTTCCCCCCTTCATTGCTTGACCTCTTCTAGGTGATCAGTCAGAACGAAGCAGACTACTTCTTCGACTCACTAAGGCAGGTGACAGACTGGAACAGGAACTTCCTTCCCCTTCCCTCTGTGTCTTGCTGTAATTGTGCTCTCTCACTGTAGACAGGGAAAGAAAATTCAGCCTGATACATGAGTATGTTGGCATGGGCAGTGTTTTATATGATCAGCTAATCCCTCCTTTCCCCCCTTCATTGCTTGACCTCTTCTAGGTGATCAGTCAGAATGAAGCAGACTACTTCTTCGACTCATTAAGGCAGGTGACAGACTGGAACAGGAAGAACAAACCAGGCAAAGATGGTAAGGAGAATGCCAGCATGACAAGAAGCTGCATGAGATGCTGTGTTGAACTGGGGAAGCAGAAAATTTATCCAGTAGGATTTACTCCATCTTAGGAAGTGTGTGGCAGAGCCTTATTATATTGTTTTTGTTTCTACGTACGTGGTTACTGACTGTACCAGCAGAAAGATCCAGCCAAGCACTGGCTGAGAAAGGGGAAGTGTGTGGCAGAGCCTTATTATACCGTTTTTGTTTCTACATACACGGTTACTGCCTGTACCGGCAGAAAGATCCAGCCAAGCACTGGCTGAGAGAGGAGCTCTGAGAATCACAGCATAAAGATGTGGGTGCACCAAATCACAATTCATTTCTGTAAACACAACCATAAGGGAATGTACCTGCATCAGAACTCAGGTGTGCTGCACATTGGCAGGCAGCTGTCATGAGGATGAAGAAATAACAAACACTTGTAATGTAGGCATCCTCAGCTTCTTCCTCCATCTCTGAAGAGCCTGCATCTTAGAGCACTGCATGATCAGCATTCAGGAACTGACAACTAATTGCTTTCTGGGTCATTTAAAATGGCCTTTTGTGCCTTTTTGTTAGTAATTTTGTTTGTTACTATTAAATCCAAAATTACATTTCTGAAGAAACTCACAAGCCATTTAAAAACTGCAGACCTCTACAGCGATACAGAGAATACTAACAAGATGTTGTTTCCTTAGGGGCTACCATGTCTGTCGCCTACGAGGTGTACTTCATGAGAAAGCTGTGGCTGAATGTAACTCCTGGGAAGGACCTGAAGGCTGATGTCATTTTTCATTACCACCAGGTAACCAGCTCCCTTAAAACATAAATATACTGGCAGGCAATGTGATCCAAGAAATAGTCCTGAGAAAGTACACCTGCTGGAGTGTTACCATCTCTCTGCGTTATTGAGCCTCCAGAGGAATGCCTCTGATTTATTTCTTACAGATTTATTTCTCACAGTGTTCACACCTTAGCTATGTTGCTTACGATAGGAGCACAGCTCTCTTATCTAATTGTTCCCTGAAGGTGCTCATCTTGCTCCGTAATTATATGGAGAATCATAGGATCATTTGGGTTGGAAAACAGAACCTCCAGAAGGAGTTAAAAGTTCTTGATAAGTCCTTGGACTACGTTTAGCAAGACTCACATCCTGATGTCACAGATTGAGAATGCATAAGTCAGTGTTTGCTTCAGCCCATTGTGTCTGGATTCAGAGCTGGTCTCTTCCAGGAATTGCCAAAGTACCTCAGAGGCTACCACAAGTGTTCCAAGGATGAAGCTGTCCAGCTGGCAGGGCTGATTTACAAAGTGCGCTTCAACAATGACCGCACACAGCTGGCAACCATCCCCAAAATCTTGAAGGAGCTGGTGCCAGACAATCTGCTCCGAGCAATCTCGACAGATGAGTGGAAGAAGGTAAGAACTTCAGCTTTCATTAATCGTGCTACTTCCACAGAGCTTTACAAGAGAAGAAAGGCATCGAGCCACACTATTTTTTTTGTCTTTGAAAACACTATGAAAAGATGCTGTTGGATGTTGCTGTTTAGCCTCTTACAATCCAGATTTTGCATCCTCTCCACCAAACCTCTGAAAGATATCTGCAGTCCTGGATGACTGATTTGAGATATGCATCTTTCTTGGAGATACTAATCTATTTTCAGCTCCCAGAAGAAGAGCTAAGAGATAAGTTCAGCTTTCATTAATCGTGCTACTTCCACAGAGCTTTACAAGAGAAGAAAGACATCGAGCCACACTATTTTTTTTGTCTTTGAAAACACTATGAAAAGATGCTGTTGGATGTTGCTGTTTAGCCTCTTACAATCCAGATTTTGCATCCTCTCCACCAAACCTCTGAAAGATATCTGCAGTCCTGGATGACTGATTTGAGATATGCATCTTTCTTGGAGATACTAATCTATTTTCAGCTCCCAGAAGAAGAGCTAAGAGATAGGAAAGTCAGTGATGGAACTGGGGGTCTGATGATCTTCTAGAGAAACAGAAAAATAAAATGTGTTCTAAATATTTAACAGTTTAGCCAGCAAATCAGTCACCTTGCACTGTGTGCACACTACTCATAGCAAAAGGCTGTTTTCTCCACCAAAAGGCAAGAAAGTTTTAGCAGGTACTTATCACTTAGTCCGCTCAGGAAGACACAGGAAAAGAGGGAAAACACAGAGGGAAAATTCACCCTACATGTTACAGTAGAAAATGTGATACATGTCTGTGGGTGAACATTTTGTTTCATCCCATATTGTCCCTCTGCACCAAAATCCATTCCCTTGGGCTCTAGACTTCTTTTACTCAACTCATTAGTAAGGAACACCGGGGAGGTTCTGCCTCAATGTTGCCCCATGGCATTGTAGGCTATTTTCATTTTCAGAGTCTTCCGTTGCTGGGGGCACAAGCCTGACCTTGGCGAGGGTCTGCTGCTGTCTTTAGTGCTAAAGCTGGACACTGAAAACCTGCCTGTCTCCAACTGAACAGGCTTGGTATCCTTTTTTTCTCAACAGAGCATCATTGCAGCATACAGCAAACACGAAGGAAAAACTGTGGATGAGGCCAAGATTGCCGTCTTGAAAATGATATACCGGTGGCCAACATTTGGATCAGCCTTCTTTGAGGTGAAGGTAGGTTTAAAGGACTGTACAAATGGCTTTGGTAGCAGCCCAGCACTGGGGGACATGGACTGACTCCATGTAAGTGAGAATAGGTTATAAAGTTGGTTTCCCATCGCCTACTGAGGAAAATGCAGTTCCTTAAAAGTGGGGAGATGAGGTTTTTATCTCTTCTGAGCTATACCTGTCACTTAATAGCTATGTTGTTGGTCCAGCTGTAACACTTAATATTATAACTGTGTGGTAGATGGGGTCTTTTAGATACTTAACTGTCCTGTCATTGTTCTCCACTACAAAATGCTGCCAAATCTTCTATCTCTGGCGTCTCTTCCCTCAGAACAGAACTGTACTAATCTTCTCATTCCGCAGTGGATACCTCCAGGAATCACTTCCCACTTGCTACCTTTAATTTCTTTTAATTTCTAGGCTCTTAACTGGTTTGCAACCAATCATTAAGCTAATTATGAGACAGCCTAGGAACTAATGGGCCTGATTCTGCTTTTATGTAGCAGTTGCTCAAGTCATCAATATATGGCCAAAAGGGTCATCCTTAGCAATAGTTACATGATATTGAAGAGCTTTATGTTTCAGTGTTTATTTGGTAAAGAGAACAAGCAGCACTGGACACTGCTAAAGGTCACTATACACCTAATATAGATTATTTCTGCTTATCTTGCTCTGTTACTTGTTTATAGCAAACCTCGGAGCCAAATTTCCCAGAGATCGTGCTGATTGCAATCAACAAGCAAGGAGTCTCAGTGATACATCAGAAGACAAAGGTAAAAGTCGCTTCTCAAGAGCCTAAGGAAGGATTTCATTGACAGTGCTAACTTAGGGACAGCAATGGGACCTTCTCCTTGAATTATTTTTTGTGTGGAACCAAATAAAACGTTAGACAGCAACGGGACCTTCTCCTTGAAGGAGAGAGAGGATAGAGTCCCTCCATTTATTTTTTGTGTGGAACCAAATAAAACGTTATTGCCTCACATCACTTCTTTGCAGTTTCTGCACTGGAAAGGAAACAGTGTAGAGCATCTCTGAAAAAAGAAGTAGTAAACATGATGGATCTGGGCAAAGTGGTAAGATCAGGCAGATTGGATGGACAGTCCACTAGAGAATTTGCTTCAGAAAAACACTTTGCAGGAAATCCAAACTGTCTAAAAGATCAGGTCGAATGACAGGAGTCTGGAATGACCAGCTCTCTATCCTGGACAAACATTCTGGTCTCACCAAGTTCCCAGGCAAAAGCATTTATGAATATGACTATTAGCTTTCAACAAGAGAACAAATATCCTTCAAGTTTTAGATTACTGTAAATATAATGGCAGTGTGCTAAGGCAAAAATCAATATATAATGAAAGGAAGTCTCATTAGAGTGATTAAGACTCACCTGCTTGGTGAAAATACAATATACCACTATTCTGGATGCAAGACCTACCTTGATCCACTGTGTTTATAAACGAAGTGGGAAAGAAAAAGAATATTCCGGCTCTCCAGGCTTTCTTACAAAACACCCTGTTTTCATTTGAGAAATGTTACACAGTTCAGTTTGTTTCCCCTTACAGGATATTTTAACAGTCTACCCCTTCAACAAAATCTCCAATTGGAGCAGTGGGAGCACATACTTTCACATGACAATAGGGAACCTGGTACGAGGAAGCCGGATCTTATGTGAGACATCTCTGGTAAGAAGAGTTTTGTTATCTTATATACAACAAACTCCTAATTTTTCTCCATACATCCAGAATTGCTGCAAAACAATGGTGCCAAAACAGATGTTAAACCCAGTGCATTCATTACTAGGTCAATAAAATTGCAGTTTAGAACCAATTCAGTGCTATATAATGCCATCTGATGCAAAGAAGTAAGCCACAGAGACAAGGAAAAAATAGTAATTTACCAAATTCTTCCCATACATCAAAATTCTATCTACCTGAAGCATTAAGAAAAGACTGCACTTATCCACAAAACTACATTAGAGGGTTTTAGATCCATCTATGCAGTAACACCACCCTTGTAAGATTTTACACTTGTCAGCAAGTGGTACCACCTTTTTAAGAACTGGTTTCAGATTGTCCACAGACTCAAACAAGCATCACTGTATTGACAGGTAAAGGCAAATTTCTAAAGATAACATAAAAACATTTATGAGTTACCTTCTCTCACAGAATAACTTGGATTCCTAAGTACAAGATGTCAATCTACAGAATGAATGAGGAGACAGTAGAGCTAGGCTCTGTAAAGTTTTGTAAATCTATGAAGGGAAGAGCAGAGGGAGGAATAGACAAATAATTATCAAAACAGTGATAGCTGTTGGAAGAGGAGGTGTCCAGGCAGGGAAGAACCTAAGAAGAAGATAAGACAGGAAGGAAATGATAGTTATTTTTGCTTCTGGAGCTCTTTGAAAGACTTAAGACTTTTTCTTTTCTGACAGGGTTACAAAATGGATGACCTGTTAACATCCTACGTACACCTGCTAATGAATGCTGTAAACAAGCAAAAGCATCTCCCAGCTTGAGAGTGGAAATAGAACCTATGACCTGTATCTGTGCCAAATGAGCTGTAATTTCATCTCCCAAAAGAAATGCCATTTAAAAAAAAATATTAAACTTGATGATCAGTCTTCTGATCGCACACCGAATGAACTGCGTTGCTGAAATATTACCACAAGAGAAGCTCAACTGAGCATGTTTCAAAGATCTGTAACACTTGTCTGTCTTAGAGGTAGTATAAGAATTCCATTCAGACTTTGGATTTAGAGAAAGTTTAGCTGGATTTTAATGTAACAGGGGAGCTGGGGGTGGAGGAACCCAAATATGAGAGTCTTTTCTGATACTCTAAATCTCCTCCATTCTTAAAGAGAGACACACTTTAACAGTTGTCTTCCTTTTGGAAAGAAAATATCCCCTTGTTGCATGTGCTCTTACCAAATGCATAAACTCCTTGAGTCTTTGCAAACAAAGGTAAAGTTATTTTTTTCCTCCTATTGGAAATTCTAAGAGTGGAGAAATGACCTTTAGTAGTAGGACAACTGAATTCCTTGAAAGGTAAGACGATGGTTTTCATCCTTTTACGTTACGTGCTGCAAATTACAGTCGACTGTGACAGCCAGTTACTGTCAGAATGTAACTGTCATTCCTGTGTGCTGCTAAATTAGCAGGTGTTCCACTGCTTTCCCGTTGCCTTGGTTAAATGAAATAGTTTCCTTTCTTCCACATTTTATAATGCAATTAGAAACTAACAACTGCTTTCTACTGTGCAGTTTCTAGCAAGGATAAACAAGCTCTGAAATGAGTCTGAATTTTGGGTCTGTTGCTCCTATTTCAAGTTATAGATGTGCTATTCAGTGCAAATCAGAATTGAAGAACTCAGTCTAACAGACATCCGTTGAAAGAGACTTTTCTGCTCTATAAAAATGTTCTCAGCTTGAAGTTATGCAGACATTCGTTCATGAGACAAGAATAATAGCTTTAATTTCTCCTGATCTTTTCTATTTCCTGTTTAGCAGCCACGTGGAGTGGTAAAATTTGCTTCAGCATTTGTTCATCTCTCAGAGCTTTGTAAATACACAATTTTGACCCAATAGGAGCCAGAGTGTGCTCAGAGTGTGTAAAGCATATATGCAGTGTGGTGGCAGTAAGCCTACATGCTTACCCCATCAGAGAACAAGTGTTCTCCTTCCTCAATGACGAGCCCTCCCTTGCTCACAGTGAAACATGGACATGTCTTAAAGCATTTACACCAAGTTCCTTGAGACACGATCTGGCAGTGCTGGAAAAGCAGCTCTGCTAGATCTCTCCAGTTTGCCAACATATGCACAATGGTCCTCTTGTTCCCTCAGATGTGTGTGTGTGAAATTCCAATGCTAATGGGAATTTTGTACATGGGTAGCAGGGAAGAGCCCCACTCTCTTTGTGCATCTCAATGAGTGCCACACTTGTCAGAATAGTTGATCCTTTTGCATGCAATTAGCTATTCCTGCTGTAATGTCCATTGCTGGCAATGGAAACGTTTGAGACTAATGACTTTGACTTGTTTTGTCATCCTATCTCTGACCTAACTGGCTATAAGTGAGAAGCATTCAACACTTCACCTCTACAAAAAGCAATTTTGCAGCCAAACTGTATTGCTTCTGGTTTTTAAATAAACACTGCAGAAAATCAACCACAATGTCTTTTTTAACAAGAAAATAGAATATTTGCTCTAGTTCCATGGAACCTAAACCTACCAAACATCCACTACAGCCTGTAAATGACCATAACATCCCATCTACTCATCATATACACAATTTGTACAGCACAGCTTCGAAAAGGATGATACCCCCTATCATGATGATACATCCTCAACCAACACATCACCATAGAAGCAGCTGAGAGCCAAAACATAAATCCAACACGACAGGGCATCAGATCTGGGCAATGCCCAGAGTTCCTCAGAGCATGTAACGCTCTCCAGTTCAGCATTGCAAGTGTAATTATTATTGTTTTTACTACACAATATACAACTTTTTTTACATTTGTTTTTTGTGTGAAGATGTAAAATGTATTACAGTTAACTTTATTACAGGAACATAAAAAGGTACAGTATTACAACATTTCAATCCACAATCACATGTTTTGGTTAGACAGCACAAGCAGCGTGTGATAAAATGAGAGCTCCACACGGTGCAGAATCCACACTGCTCATCAAGGCCTGAACCAAGGCAAGTAGCTGCTAATTCTTTTACTCACTCTATACCATCCTCAGCACTTCATAGTGCTTTACAGACTAGGACAACCACATATATTACATGTTTACCTCCAATCTATTCCTTCACCATCCAACCACTTTTTAAAAAAAGTGTCAGTCACATCATCTAACACAAAACACACGACACCTAGAAACTCTCTGTACAGAAGGTTGAACAATATTTGCCTACATTGCACAGACTGCTGTAAAAATAAAGACCAGGATGCAAACCCTAGAGAGCAGGTTAGGTTGCCATAAAGAAAGATTGCAAGTGATTAACTATACCCTTTGAATACAAACAAGCTTCACATAGTGTGGTTTCTAAAAGCAAAAACCATTTCAAGTGTAGTCAGTGAATATTAGTGATTTTAATTCAGTATGTATAAATATGAACGTAAACTATAAATGTATATAATGAGACAACAGGTTTTAGTAAGTGTAGACTTCTGAGCCAAGTTCAACCTTGATATCAATTTATACTCTCCAGTGGTGTGATACCTAGGATGAATTTGGCCAGCATGTCTATTTACAGCAATGGAAAAAAGACCTTGACTTCATTTTAAAAAATACCAACAACCAACCAACCTGTCAACCTATCAACACACTAAGGAGAATTCATAAGTCTGCATTATATTCTACTTGGTTTTTTTCCAAAGTGACTCGAAGAAGTAGAGGAAAATGCATTTATTTAAACTACTTCTAGTTTTTTCTCCTTCTCCTTCAAATCCACTGTCCCATAAAAAGGTATGTCAGCAATATTCACTACTGTAACTCTGCACATTGCAGGCTATGGGCAGCAGGAGTATAAGAAAAATAGTTGTGAAAAACTAATAATTTAAGAGATACTAAAAGAACATCACCCTTCGCTGTTATAGAGATCAGGCACTATCATGATTTTTTTTTTCCCCAGTAATTTTGGGAAGATAAGGACAGAATCCAAATCCTAGGGAACTGAACAGCTTATCAAAGAGAACGATATCAACTGTCCTTTGAACACTGAAGTTTACTAGCTCTACTGAATTTCTATCAGGAGACAAAGTGAGAGCACACACTAAATCTCTGCTTGCAGTACAAAAATAATTCCATTCACCTCTACATACATGCATTTTCCATTGCTGAACTTGAGAGTGGCCACTGAAAGAACATTACCTGTTGCCTGCTAGTTGCATAGTCTTTCCATATTGACCAGTAGCTATGTGGCTGTGGTTCCTCCACAATCTTCCCAGGAGGCTGAAGATACACGGCTGCTCAGATTTAGCATTAGACATGGCCTGTGACTGAGATTATAGGAACAGACCCGAATGCTTTATTCTGGGAAGAATGCATAACATACTGATTTGCACCTCAATCAGTAGTTCTTGTGGTTTCTGCTGTGACAAAAATGCCAAAGAACAGGCTTACAAGTCCAGTCTTTGGAGTGGCCACATACTACTGTGCCAAAAAGACATGCTGCTCTTTGTGCCCTTAACTAAAAAGCCATTTAAAGGCTGGTGAGAGAACAGTGACTAGCCATGTGTTCTCCTAAAGCAGTGACAAAACCAGCTTCTATTATTGTAATCTCCAATGCACATTGGTCAGAAGAGGAAGGAAGAGTTCTACTGCTAAAATTAAGGCCTAGCCCCCCCTCAGTGTTACAGTGGATGCAGTGTACCCCAGCTAAAAGTTTATGGTAATTTATGGCAACAAAAAGCAAAGCAGCTGACAGAAACGGAATTAGCAAAGCCAGTATCTAAAAGATGCTCTTGCACATGGGATTCTTATCTGCACATGGTTAATTGGGATTTCCCAGCGCTGCTGTAATATTCCTGTTGCAGTTTCATGGTTAGTAGCTACAGCACACGTGTTAACAGCTATCAATGCTTTAGCTACTGTCTTGTTTAGAACTATTCTGAGCAGAGTGTAATGGCAGTGAGGACAAGTTTAAGGTAGATTATAGCCCCAATCCAGTTGCTGCTCACACATGCAAGAAGTGAGGAAGCTTTAACTTCTTGCCAGCTAATTCACCTGGGGCTGCAGGGTGGTGCCTAGGCCCAACTGCTGTGCTCATTTGACCTACCAAACTAGCCACATTTAAATCATGCAAGGGACAGCAGTCTTCCAGTGCATTTTGTCCTGTCTACCTTGCAAAAAGGGCAGGCCCAGTCCCCAGCTATTCATGGAAAGGGACTTTCATGCTGCTCATCTTAGTTCAGCACAAGAAACTA